TTAAGCTTATAGTTTTGCCGATATTTTATCGTATGCTAAAAAATATGTATTACATAAAACATGTATTTTAAAAAATTCAGCACAATATAGCCTTTCAGATACTTATACATACAAATCAAATTACATATAAAATGAAATATTTTATTGAATATTATGATCTCTTCTCTGTAAACAGGCATGTTTTGAAGAGGACATTGAAGGCGAAAAGGGGCTCGAATAGACGCCAATTTTTTTTTTCTTCGGAAAGCTGTACAGTTATCTTGGGCGACATATCGCGTACAAGTACAATGTACAAAACAGCAGTGAAAATAAAAAATAATGAACTCAAAATTTAATTCTCTTCTCTCAATTATTTTGTGAAATATAATTACCAACAAATATATAAGTTTTTACCAGAGTGTATACAAAGCGACTTTTCAAGCGGTACATGAAAGCGTTTGACGCGTGACCAGGTACGTGTAATTGCTTTCTAAGCATGCAAACTCTGACTACAGTATCAGGTAGCACAGATTGCTGGCCTGTCAATCAAATCAGCAGCTATTGTTTTATATTGGTATGATTGTCGGGCGGTATATTATCGATCTTAAGCTATAGGTAGATTTTGTGGGCATTAATGGAAAATTGGGAGTTTAATAAAAGCACATGTACTTGTCATATGCTGGAGTTACCAAACTATAGACGACAGAGTTTTTCACATAGCATGTTCAGAGTTGGTGTAATCATAAAGATAGCCATTTTAAAAAGAAAATAATGTAAAAGTGTTATAAGCAATGCGTCTTATTGTTTTCAAAATATATCTCTTTTGAATTCTTGTGTGCAAACCTTGTGTGTCAAGTTAGAATTATCTGCAGAATTAACTACACGCAATGAATCTCCGAAATTAAACATATAATAACACATACATGTAATTGAGAAATAAATCGTTTATTAAATACATGTACATGTATGCAGTTTAAAGATTAGGATTCATGAAATCGGGGACCTTTATACGTCCTTAATAGAATGTTTTGGATTTAAATTAAATCAAATTAAGATAAGAATAAATAATTTAATTGAATGACCCGGTATGATTTAAAAAATAATTTTCCGTAAATCATTGTGTCAGCAAAATGAATATAGAACGACAATGTTTTGTGTATGAGCACTCATAGCTGCTTCCTCGGCTACATAATTAGGTTACATAATTGTAAACAAACACAAAACCCGGGTATATGTGAAACGCAGTTAAATGCAGTTAAAGACTGATTTATATTTTGCTAACTTTTTTTTAAAATTTAATATAGTGTATGTTTCAACATTAAACGACGAAAAGATGTTTAGTTTACGAACGCAGGTCGCTGGTTCACACGCAATGGATCTCTTGTAATTTCGGCCACAATAATTTAAAAAGTATATCACCAACATGACCAACATAGATAAGATGAAATAATTTGAAAGATCCGATATGACTAAAAAAACAACTAGAATGAAAATCAGAGACAAAAAATGTTTACCCAGAAAATGAAAGATTTCTTTCTTCACGCAAGCTAGTTAAACATTTCAAAATAAGAATAATAGCTGAAGTTTTCCTATTGCAGAATTATTCTTATGGCTTTATATGATTACCGCACGTCTGGCATGTCCCACCCTAATTTTCTACGCTTAATTCATTCATCATGTTCATTTGACCATTTCTGATTTTAAAAAAATGTCGCATGCAGATAAATTGTGAATCGGAAATCAATTTCTTTAGAACCAAATCAATATTTGTTGCGAGAAGTAAATAATTCGATAGCTTTTGAAGATTTCAACATACATTTTTGTAACACGCATATTTGTAATAACCACTTTATATACAAAACAAAATTTCATTCTCTTATATGGTAATATGGATGTCGTAATAGATCTGACTGAATGCTTGACATGCCTGTTTCAAAAACGTTTCCTAAGTTATCTTAAGATATGCCTAAGTTATAACTTTAGAAGTTCCTAAGATTTATCACAGCTTTATCACGAAACAATCTTATCTAAAAAAAAAATTATAAGTCATTTCTTAAGTTGTGCCTTTAAGGACTAATAAAATAACATTCCCGCTCTATATACAACTCTCAGTATGGTATATATTTTTAGATTCAAAAAGGAAGGGTGCGAGGATTGGGGATTTCCCCCACTTTTAAAGGATTTGGACACAAGTATGCTTAACTTTGCGAAGTGTGTTGCTAGATCTAAGCATTCACAGACACACCCTTTTAAGCCATCTTCCCTTCCGAGCACACGCTATTTGTATTTTAATTTTTAAACATTGTTCTAGGTGTTATACATTTACTTTATTTTGTTCTTATAAGGTATCTACATATAAATAAAATTTTAAAATGAATGCTTCGTAGCGAACACATGCGAGTTTATATTTTTCAAACAATCTTTGCCAATTACTTCACTGCATGTACACGTTAGTTGTTTGTGCTGTGTAGAGCAACTATCAGAGTACACAATGTATTTCAACATCGAGGTGCCCGCGGCTCTCTGTGGCCACGTGTATGTAAACGAGGACTGGACTACAACACCTAAGACACAAAGCGGCAGAGATGGATGAAACTGTTTGCTATATTACAAATACATGACTTGTATATTTGAAGGAATTTTCATTTATGTTAATGTTTATTTAATTCTATAAATAATAAATGGACATTCACAAGAGTGATGGTAAAAATAATATGTGCGTAGCATGCGTAGTAATTACAATTATTTACCGAAGTCCCCATTCAATTACAATTGCAGATGAATTAAAATACAACACGGGATAGAGCAATACTTTTTTAAATGTATTGTTGCGTGAACAAACAAAAACAGCGATTAAAATTTAAAATGATTTTTATGCACCAGTGTTTGGAATTAAGATTATAAAAGATCGGTAAAGTAATCTTACTGATTCGATATAATTAAAAACATAACTTTCCATTAATTAATAGCTCTTTGTACAAAATTGACATTATACGCGATCACAAATACTAGCTTTGTTTATGGCCACAGGTGGCTAGTACACTGGTGACCTCGATCAACAGCGTGGGATTCGCGCGTTGGGTTACATAACTAAATATCGAGCTGAACATGGAGACCGTAATATGCATACAGCTAATGATCGTGAATTATTCAATGCATACAGTTTAAAATCACTTACAAAGTTTGTTGTAATAATAAACGTAGAAAGATAGATTTAATATTCTCCGCTTTTGAACACTATTAATCTAATTTAAGAAGAAAAAGAAGAAAAGAAAGACAAGTTGTAATAAATAATTTAATAGTGAACCATAAACCACGTTTTAAACCTTATTAAAAAGAAAATTAACATTAAATACCGCAGGGTATATTATTGATAGCAAGTCTGTTTAAGTTATACACATGAAGAGGTCTGATTTCCTTGCCGAATGAAAAACGTTACCTGGCCTGCTTTCTAATACGTATTACGCAATACCCATGGTATACTCGAACAAAACAACATTTTCATTAGATCAAAAAGGTGTAAAAGAACAATTTTGTTCCCAAGATCCAGATCGAAATATTTACCGTTTTTGAGTTATAAAGCAAAAACTTTTAAGGGCCCAGGATCCCGAATTATAGGAGCCAGCCCCTTTTAAATAGTATAATATGAAAGCCCTTGCAATTATGCACAACTTTTATTCTACATGTTTTAACAAATTATTTTTAGTTTTAAAGATATAAAGGAAAATATGTCAAAATTTTTGCTCTTTTTCGCGTTCTAAATTTTGACCCCTCTCTAGCGCCATTTTTAATGCAAAAATCAAGAAAGAAAAACCGATGTGCACAACTTCAATGCTTCTTCTTTTCAATTTCAAATGGTATTGTGCTCCAATTATTACAGTTTCCGAGCCTTTGTCTGGAAACCAGAGGCATAAAAATTTCAATCAAAGGGGAATAACTCGTGAACAGAAGGTAATTTCCGAATTGTATTACAGTATTCTGAAAGTGTTTTGTAAAGTCTAAAAGCTCTGAAAATTTGAACAAAATCTGTTCAGAAATTAGGAAGATATGAAGCTTCAAAGTTGGCGTCTAGGAAAAAAAAAAAAAAGAATAATCTTAATCAGTACAATCAGTAGAAGGTCTTCCGTTGGAAACGGAAGACCTTAATAATCTTAACCATCAGAATCAGTAGAAGGTCTTCCGTTGGAAACGGAAGACCTTAATAACCTTATATCCCACCAGATTACAACATAAATTTTACGATGTAGCTTCCATGTGGTAGATTTTTTTCAGTTTGTATTGACATTATCCGGTACTCATTTGTAGTTTGTTAACACTAGTGTGCGAAAAATGTTTGTAAAATATGTGATTTCTGTATTTCATTAACTAATATCATGTGTAATAAACTACGTCTTATACACAATAAATATTCAATAAAGGTTAACAATTAAATTACGATGCCGTAATGCTACAGATCATCTCACAGATGTGTTGTATTGTAATGATAACAGGTAATTTTATTTAATACATTCTGTCCGTTTGTCATTAACTCTCCAGCGCTACAAACAACTGACAGTATAATAGTCATCCATCAAAACCCTCCATCTATATAATGATAAGATTTAATAGTTTGTCATCAGCCCTCGAGGTTGATTCCCCCGAGTCCCGCAATTAATGACAAATTGTGAAAAAAAATATTTCAATTTATCGTAGGAACTAATGACGCCAAAGCTTCATCGGCTGCAGATGTAAAATGTAATTTAAAAAAAATAATGGTTATTGTAATCCGTAAAATAAATTCATGACACCTTACATCGTATGCTTCTTTCAATCATGCGTAACAGTATATATTTTTTTCAATTCAACAACATACCAAAATCACTGGAGTTATCAAAGAAATTAACGATTCCGTTTTGAGGATTTTGCATAAAAAGACCACGCCCCCAGATACACGACAGTGTGCCTTTTCAAAACCTCAAAAACTCTATCGACTCAAAAACACATCGACTGTAGGATCTCATTCATACCTTGCTAATTTAAATGAACAGCGCTTACATTTAAAGTTAGACCTTGTTTTCGTATACAGGAAAAGGAGTATTTAGAGTTTGAAGGTCTGCTGGAAAAAAGCGTTTTGCCAGGTAATCAGCGCGGCATACATTTATCAGTGTTGTAGTGGGACTGTCCTCTTCCTATCTAAACTCTCTACATGGATTTTAATATTTAAATAGGACAAGCTGAATGTGAGTGTTAGCAGTGGACTTTTCTGCCTATCTTGGTTATCAGGGACCAATTGACACATTTACACAGGAAACCCTCAATGATGTAACACGTGGAGAATTGCGATCTTTATTTTAACATACTTTATTGTTTTTAACTGGACAGTTAAAAAAAATGCCTTGAGAGACATGGGACCAAAACAACAAATATTGGTGTTCTTATTTAACCTGTGGTGGTGCGTTACTGCTAATACGGTAAGTGTTTTTAAACCACATGACAAAATATTAAACTTCACTGAATCATTAAAATATAAAACTGCTGTCAGCAAATATGCATCGATGTTCACGCGCAGTTTCTTTCAAACTCTGACAAAAAAAAATTCAGCTGCTAAACCACAAATTTTTCCTGTTTTTATAGGACAAAAATGTTTGATTTGAATATTTTTTATGCTAAAAAATGACAGAATGTCCAGCCTTCCCTTCCTAACGATCTGATTTTTAATTGCTCCAGATCAGGCATGGAATTATTACTCATGTGCACCGAGAAATACAGTTGAATATTTTCCCGACACGATTTTTTTACAGCTAATTGTGAAACGTCGATTACGTAAGACCAGTTTCATGACAAAAACCGTGAACCAATGTTTGTAAACTAATCCCTCCCTCCTGGGTGGGAAGATTCCCTGATAGCACGAAAAACGTTTAATGCAATTGTTTTCTTAAAAGGGGGCATCGCCTTAAAGTTGATGTGACGAATTTTGGTTTTCCTGAGTTATCTTATTTTCCAATTGTCCTTGCTTTATACAAATAGTTTATTGGAGTTGGAATGACCATTACAGAGAAAATCCAAATGAAGTTTCATTGGAGGTTTTGACAATTTTGTCTTTTTTTCTCAAAACTTCCCAAGTAGGACATTAATACATTTTTTTTTTTGCACAAGCCCTGGTAATGCAATGTCATGCTTGGCTTCAGACATACCATACATTTTGAAAGGCGAGATGTATTAACTTTTTGGTTTAGTGCACAACTGAATTAAAATTCAAAGTGCAATATTTCGCCAAAAGATCATATCTACATTATTAAAAGAAGATACCAGAGGCTGTTTAAGTTTAAATCAGTTGACAAAATCATCGAAGTGTACTCTTACAAATTAATTCTGGGTAACAATACAGTGTAGATTTACACTGTACAGCGAGGTAATGCGTTGGACTTCTCCAAATTGCAAGATAAGTACCGCGTATAGAAGACCATGTGGCTCAGTCGTACAATGCTCTCACGAAGTCCTTATACACATTTTTCCCATAACCCCCGATTTAGCAGGTTAAATGTTTTATATGTCGTGTAAATTGCAACTTGTTTCTCGTATACAATTGCATAACTTGCATGCTTCGGTCACAATATACCGACCTTTTCTATGTTGGAGACCAAGAAAACAGTTGAGAGAATTTTAAGATACTTGTTTGTTTGGCCTGAAAATGCTTAAATATAAAAAGAAATCTACAAAACTTTCACTTTTAATACATCAACAATACAATTTGAGAGCAAAACTCTATACGCAAACTCGCAAATCAATTAAAATTAAGAAAAAGTCTGCCAAAAAAATTTGGAGGGGAAATTTTTAAAGCTGACTTGTATGAAAAAGAAAAAATATATAAGAATAAATTAAAAAATACTAACATTAAACATAGAGTAGAAATGAAAAAGAAACTCACTAATTTAAGAACAAAAAACCCCAAAGAGTACTGGAAAATCCTGAACACAAACTGCAATAAGCAAAGATGTAATGCTGATTTGAATGACCTTTTTACATATTATAAAGAATGCTGTAACGAAAATTTTAATGAACAAGAGTCAGAGCCCTCAGTATTAACACAAGAAGAGCTTGATATTGTAGCTGATGTTCAGCTCAATCATGAAATTAACCAACAAATAACACATGATGAAGTGCGCAACAGTATTAATATGTTGAAAAATAACAAGGCTTGTGGTGATGATAGAATCTTTAATGAATATATTAAAAATTCATGTGACTGCATGCTGAATTTATACACTGAATTGTTCAACAAAATTTTTGACTCTGGTGTAATACCCACTCAGTGGGCTTGTGGAAACATAATCCCAGTATACAAAAATAAAGGGGACAATACTGATCCTAAGAATTATAGACCTATCACACTGCTGAGTTGTCTAGGAAAATTATTTACTGCAATTATTAATGAAAGATTAAACTCATATGCTGATAATGTACAACTCATTTTAGAAAATCAAGCAGGCTTTCGTAGAGGTATGGGTACAATAGATCATATTTTTTCATTATATTCTCTTGTAGAACTTTTTAGAAGACATAAAATGAAATTGTACTGTGCATTTATAGATTTTGAGAAAGCATTTGATTCGGTTTGGCATGTCGGACTATGGAATAAAGTTCTACAAAATAATATTGATGGAAAATGCTTTAAGATTATAACCAACATGTATAAAGGTATTAAATCAAAAGTAGTAGTTAATGGAATAAGTTCAGAAATGTTTGAATGTAGTATAGGAGTTCGGCAAGGGGAGAATTTGTCACCATTTTTATTTTCATTGTACTTGAATGACCTTGAGGAATTTTTATCTGGAAACAAAGCTAAGGGTTTACCTTGTTTGTCAGAAAAACTCGAAAGAGAACTAAATCTCTACTTACAGCTTTTTGTTTTATTATATGCAGATGATACTATTTTGTTATCAGAAAACGCAGATGATTTTCAGTACATGCTAAATACGTTTTCTAAATATTGCAAGACATGGCACCTTAAGGTTAATAGTAAGAAAACAAAAGTTGTAATATTTGGTAGAGGTAAAAATAATAGCTCTTTTACATTTGAAGGCTCCAAGCTTGATATAGTTGACAACTTTAAATATTTAGGTGTTACATTTTGTAAAAGTAATTCTTTCAATTTAAATACCAAAGAATTATATGACAAAGCTACTAAAGCAATGTATAGTGTTATTGGTAGATGTAGAAAACATAACTTATCAATGGATTGTAAATTAGACATGTTTGATAAAATTATCAAACCATTACTTCTATATGGATGTGAAATGTGGGGTTTTCACAATACTAAACTAATAGAGAAATTACACCTAAAATTTTGTAAACATATTCTAAGCTTGAAAACATCAACACCAAACTTTATGGTGTACGGAGAACTTGGTAGACACCCTTTATTAATTGATATCAAAGTTAGAATGATCTCATTTTGGGGTAAACTTATTAATGCTCAGAGCTCTAAATTGTCTGCAAAACTTTTATGTGCATTGAAAATATGTAAGAATCCATGGTGTGATTTTGTTCAGAAAATTTTAAATGAATGTGGATTGACTTATGTGTGGTATGAAAATTCAATTAATATATCTTGGCTAAAAAATAAGGTATATACCACTCTCTTAGATCAGTTTAAGCAAACATGGTTTAGTGATGTACAAACTTCCCCTAAAGGTTTGAACTATAGAATTTTTAAAAAATCATTAATCTTTGAAGACTATTTGTTGAATTTGCCTCCTAAACAATCCAAGAAATATTGTTTATTTAGAACTGGGAATATAAAATTACCAATTGAGACTGGTAGATGGTTTAACATCCCTAGAGAAAATAGAATTTGTAAATTATGTAACAGCAACGAAATTGGGGATGAATTTCATTATTTATTTAAATGTACTGATGTGTCTATAAAGAACTCAAGAGTTATGTATTTGTCAAAGTATTTTCATTTGAATCCAAATGTTTTGAAATTTGAAATGCTTTTTAATGTAACCAATACTAATCAACTTAGCAAAATTTGTAAATTGTTAGATATTATAATTGAGAGAGTTGGCTCTCTTGGTTGACATACTCTGTTACCCCTTCTTCAGGCATGTAATATTTTCTGTTTATTATACTGTACATATCTTCTCTTCACTGTTTTGTCAGTTATGAGAATAAAGTTCAAGCCTCCTCGAATTAAACTCTAAATAATATCGCACAGTATTTAGAAATCTACCTCCTTCAATCGCTCAAATTTGCAAGGGTAAATACTTAAAATGCATTTTAATAATCCAATTTACAAGAGAAAATTCATTATAAAATGGAGCTTAATGAATCAGAATGGGAAAGGATTTTTAAAACCCCTTTCATTATAATCGTTATGCTAGCCATAATAACATTTAATTTTTATAGTGCAAGGTCAAAAAAAGACTAGGGTAACGCAATTAAATGCGGTCTTGTGGTTTTTGAGAAGAGTTATAAATACAACGCATATTTGCTTTCGGGGTTTGAATAATATATATAGTTATATCTGAGTTCAAGAGGCTAAAAATATTAAATATTGACTTCTACTTTTTCAATTAGCACTTACTAAGTAGATTATAACAATAATAAATTAACTTTATTAAGGATGTTACTGGAATTTTGTGGTTTTGATTTAAGACATGTACATTGCTTACCGGGGTATGTGTGTCGAATGACAATAGAAGGTTCTTACAGTTTTTCTTTGCCAATTTCTCCATTTTTCACCAAGTTCTGTTGAAATAAAATGAGGGTTTTGTTTTAAAAGACGAACACTGATTGGGTACGATTTTAACCACCTGCCGTCAAAACTATAGAGAGAACAATATTAAATACGATGACCTGATAAAGTTTTAGGACCCGAAGTTAACGGTCAAGTTATAGGGATCTTCAGCGACTGTAAACAGAATAGGCAAAGACATCGACACCACAATGATCTCCGAATCGAGAGCTATGTCAACATAGAAAGGTTGACTCTTCGACTAATTAGCTCATATTGAAAAGCCAGGTACCAGCCAAGTAAGAGCGAGGTAAAAAGAGGACTTTTTGAACGAAGTATTTAAAAGGGGAAGTAAAGGAATGTCCTCCAATTACATTGTCTCTATTACAGAAAAATGTTTAACTTAATGAAACACCCCATAAAAATGTAAATACGGTTATCAATATTAGGGAAAGTGAAAAGGGGGAACAAGACAACACCGTAATCTGGCAAAGAAAGGAATGTTTTTAGACAAACAAGAATTTTAAATGCGGGTGCAGCTAGGTGTAATCTCTACTGATCCTCGTGAAAAAGGATTTCAAATGACTCTTTAGGGATTTACCAACGGACAAATGAAATTTTAAAAAGATGACAACCCCTGGACTCGTTCCCTGTGGTGGCGTTCCTCGAATGCTTGTCGTAATCTGGGCCCGTTGAGATAGCGTTTGAACAACAGCACATGCCTCCGTGCATGCAAAGACACCTTGGTTCTGCTTCCAATATTCTTTACTTTGTCATACTTTGTCAACATAGGATTTGGTGCGCATTTCCTCCCCAAGCTGTCCACGGAGATCTCATGTCGATATTATCATCTCATAAATCCGCCACACTTCTGGGCTATTTTTATGAAATTTATCAAGGTGTTATCTTTTAATTATCTTTGAGGGTTCGTGGATTCTGTGCAGCGTGGCTTCATTTGATGTAGATATCGTTTTTGTCTCTTGTTCAGATAGGAAATCTTGATTCAACACATTTTGTCAACAAAGTGAACAGCCTCTGTAAACAGAACGGGACCACTTTATATCAAGTACATGTACCATTACGGCCTTTGTTTAAACCCCTATCCTTTAACAATGTCACAATTTTAGCAAATTTTCTATATTACCACAACTTGCAGACGTGTACGTAACCATTATGTAATGTCCTGTTTTTCAATCAGTTAATAATCGTCCTTGATTTTTTCTGTTTTAATCATACCATGTGTATACTGTGTTTCTTTTTGTCGACATTTGAAGATTTTTTCGACTCGGGTGATCTTGTTTATAAGGTCCACATTCATTTTATCCCTTAAAAAAATCAAACAATTTGACACAGAATCAGTTTATCAACCAAATAGTTGACTTCAAAGACGAATCCAAAAAACTACCCTCTCTGAAAACTTCACATAAACTCTCTAGAAAGTTGTTTATACACGATTTTGGTTTGATAGCGCCGACAAGAGAATTTAATAGACTTTATTTTCTTGGTTAAAATGGAATTCGAGTTAGATATTCCTCGTCATCGTAGACATAAAACATTACGTTTAAATATTTCTAATCGCTAACCAATACTGACACTTTGCAACTGCAATAAATTAATTTGACAACAACATAAAAAATATAATCTGCTCAGAAATATTTCTGAGTTCCTCTGCTGCTGTGAACTGCATTTTTTCTAACTATAAAAGGTACCCGGTGTACGGCAGGTATCAACAGGAGAACGCTCGCGACTGTTTACAGACGACAACAGATCGCGGTAATATTTAACTTCGTATCGGAAGTACAAATCTTTCCAAACTAATTACTTTCTAATGAACAAGCTTGACTGGTGATAAGAAATGTGAATAGACCTTAATATTTATTTAGGGGATAATCGGCGGACGGATAGTGGAAGCCTGTAAAAGTCCACGCACAACTCCGCGGCAGATGGCCGTGTAGACACAAGTCATTTGTTGGTTTAACCAATAGTCCCCATCCCATTGTTCCTTGTTTATCTTGGAGTTTTCCATTTTTGCAACAGCAGATCATATCTCGGAGCGCTGTATCCGATTGCAATAATAATATCACGGCTTTTAAATGGTCATTTTACTGAAGTTTAGGTCCGAGTAGAACGATATACATCGCTCGTTAAAATAGTAGTGATTCGGAGTGAGAGATAATCGAGATAAAATTAGCATTTGTTAGGAATAAATCAAGTTAATCTGCCGAAACCCCCTCGTAAAATCTTACAATTTTACTAAAGATATACAGGGTGTTTGAAGTTCCGTTCCATTAGATCCGAATTAAACCATACTCATTTGCATAGATTAACCGTTAAAGCTCATTTCTAATCGAGTATCCCGAAGAAAAAATCTTCATGTGATCACCCGTTTGAACATTTCAAAAATAATAATGACCCAGTCTATAAGTAGAAAACTGGAACTTGCGCCTGTGTGGAAAATAACTTACATTTTTTTGCTTTACCCTAAATACTTTACAAAGATTAAAAGTGAAACAGAAAAATTTTGTTGTAAATCTATCAAAAGGGAAGATATCGATCATTACAATACACTTCAAACACATTAAAGGTGATAATCAAAAACGCACACGTCTTTGTTGTTTGTACCAAGACGGAGGCCCTCCAATGTAAATCCTGTTGTCGAGTTGAATTGTTGGATAAAGCATCAGACGGAATCAAATTTTTCGCTTTACAAATCTTTTGGGGTAGAACATATTTCACTTGCTTGAATAGATGTCTTTTATATAATAATCATTTGATCTTTGTATTAAGAAAAATATAAATTTTACATTTGAACGATCAAAACGCATTTGGCAAGGTAACAGAAAAAACATTTCTTTAACTGTATAAATATATGTAAAGATAACAAGACAATATCCGTTGTTAATTAAATATTTATTAATCATTGTTAATTACCTTCCTTTACGACGATTCTGGATGGGAATTACTACTATCTACATAAATCTATTGTTACTTGGGCACGCGTGGCACTGTAATTCAACCCCAAGACGAAACGCCCCATGGGACACATTAATACCAATAATATTGATGTAAGTTCAGATAAGATAGATATTCAATAAAATTTTGGCAGTCTTTAATAACTGAGCTGTTTTAAAAGATCCTGTCTTTAATATTTCTCATCAAGTCAAGTGTACGTGATGTTTTGAGAAGCCTCGAATAAATTGGCACTAGCCGCGTGATTACACTGATAGGAGGGTCCGTACTTGTGGGAAAATATCCTTGGTGCAACCTTAAACCTTAGAACCGATGATGAATTTACAATGTAAGAAAAATAATAAAGTTATCATAATGTTAAATAATAATTTATTTATGAAATAAATTTTAGGGATATTCAAGAATTTGAGAAATGATACATAAAGAAAGAGTGGTTTAGACTTCCAACTCGCTCTGACGTATCCATGGTATTCGAGATATTGATGTTCGAGATGCATAGGTTCAACTGTATACACATGTACACAACACGAACAAGGATAACCAAACATTAATGTTTAGCATAGCCTATAACAATAATTAAATGGATGTGTCTCTTTTTTGTAAGCTTTACTATCACAATTCTAATGTTTACCATGTTTCTTTTACCAGGTAGTTCTGCCAAATTTTCAACAACTTCGCGCCAGTTACCCGGGTTACAAACATCATGGCGGCAAATTCAGGAATCACCACCTTATCCAGGAGATTGGTTGCCGTTCAGATAAACTCCTGCACGATACAAGTGCACTGCGACTGTCCTATGCCCTAAATAAAATTGGTGGGGTTCACTCCCTTGGGAAAAGCCTTATTAGACTGTCCAAGTTTGGAGAAGACAGTGTTGTTGGTAGAGATAGACTCCAGTATATCTATCATCCTATAGCGTATGGCCCTTTCCTTGCCGATAAGTATGGATATCCTAGTGTCTCCAAACTGCATGAAATGGACCCCGTCCACACCAAGAAAAACTTCTGGGGGAAGCAGGGCATTCTCAGAGTGATAACCTACACACAACACTCTAATCTGCCCGTTGGACATGTTGCTTTGTGGGACTGTAATAAATTCTTCCAATCAAAAGACTGGATTGCAATGCATTCATTAATTACTGTGGAATTCTGGGAATCACCAGGTAGGTTTTACTTTTAAAAAGTAACAATTGAAAAATATCATTAAATATAGACTAATTTCAGAAAGAAAACTTCCGTCGCCACTTTTACTGAACTAAAGGGAAGTTGTAAAATACAGACAATAAATGCAAATGAATTCTAGTGCATGTTCATAAACTCTCACTTCTGGGAAGTTCTTGAAGTGTGTAATGGAGATGAATGAAGTTATAATCACAGAGTGAAGTTTAAATAGCCTCCTGTAAATCTGTGTTTGAACCATAAAAGACACTAAGTCTGCCAAAAAACCATCAGATTTATTTTCAATCAACAAAGAGGTCATGTCAAAAAGTATGACAACCACCATCTGCTTCTCCTCCAATTATTGAATTACAGTCAAGTTTGAAAGACTGGGTAAACAAACCATTGTAACTTTATGCAGCGTGCTCTAAATAAAACTATAATGTTCTTAAAATCAAAATTGATTTATCACAGAGAATTATTTTACACTTTAAAAACCAACAGCTGACGAGACTTAATATAAAATATTTAACTGGACTTAGCATGGTGAATCATGATTGTTAAATAAGTTGTGATACAGAAATATGTGCAAAGAACATTTTATTACATTTTTATATTTTTCTTTATAAATATTCTCTGCTTTCAGATTCTAACTGCAGTGGTGCATTGGAGCCACCAACAGTAACAGCTCAACACTACAAGCACCACAGAAACAACCAGTCTCATCATCCAATGAAAACCATCTATTCAAAAGCCTCTCAGATATCCAGCCAATTGGTAGCAAAAGTAGGCAGCCAATCAAAATCAATGTCAGAAACTGCTCCACAGTTAGGAACTCCCAGTTCTGTTCTTCATTTGAACAATAAATACACACAGCAACAGACAACTGATCAGTTGTTACATAATCCTTCATACAGAAGAAAGTTTCTGAAAAAGTATTTTCTCAGTAATGGACATTTACGCCACGCAAAACACAGAGGACTTGTTCTGAAAGAAAAGGGAAAACTAAAGTAACAAAATGTCCATCCAACACAACTGTAATGGTGCTATACTCTAGTCATCAACATTAAACCAAGGACTGTGTCTAAAAGCCAAATTCACCTTTATAAAGTCTAATTTAAAAACAGACTCAAGGGTAATCTAATGCAGCTATCTTTGACTTAAATGTCAACATCATCACTGGAGAACTGAATAAAATATCTGAGTGAAATCATTGACCATGAACTTCAGTTCCTTTCCTCAATCCTAAGGCATGTCATTTTATCAAAATCACCATAGAAACTCCTTAGTGTACATGATGTACATTTGAATTGCATTTTCTTTTCTTATATTAGATTTCCATCATTATGGACATAATGTTCTATGTTATGATGACTTGTGGAAATTAATTCCTTTGTTTTAATTCAGTACGTAGCATTAACTGGCTAGTCAAGTATTGTCTGTGAAAATGTGAATGTTTCTGAATGAAATGTTTGTAACTGTGGAGAATTCACAATTTTTACTCACATTGCCCTTTCTTATTATGGTCTTCTTTTTATTTATGTCTTCATGCACTTGTTAAATGCATTTAAATCATCATAAGTCAATAAATACACAAGAGATGATGTATATTTTTGTAAATTTTTACGTGATTACAAGCACATAGTGTTCCATAACCTCTGTAATTCACCATACATTAAGGATAAGGATTAATGTGGCATTTGTATGATATGTGATGTTGGAAATTTCTGAGTTGCTTCTAGATTAAAGTACTGTAGAAGTACTTTTTTCTGCAACTGTAGAAGTACTTTTTTCTGCACGATATTAATTTATGCCGTATACACGGTTACAAATTTTTTGTAAGTTTGTCCCAGTGTACGTAGAGTAGTGGCAATCTACATGTAAAAAAAAAAAAATTCCGTGTAATTTCTACCCATTGATTCAACAGAAATTGTGATTCCACAGAATTAAGACCCTGTGAAAAAAAGTATGTTTACAGTAGTTTTAATGTATCCCTTTCCATCAGTTCTGAAATTATACTTTTGTCATATTTTTGTCTTGTCAAAAAAAGAAAAGAAAAACTGTTAACAAACAACTTCTTAAGAAGGACAAAAAAAAATTAGGATCTGTCAAAATAAAAAAAAAATAATAATCTGTGAAATAAAGTATTAATGCTTGTATAATCCTCTCTCACTTTACATATAGATTGTTAGATATTTTTCTCTCAGTTTTTATATCATGCACAAACAAGAATCTTCTCCGAATTCATTGTGTTGCAATTAAACGTATCATTGACACTATGTATATAAGCTCATAAAGAAAAGAATATATTTGATTACATTATCATTGCTTGCTCTGAAAGAATTCTGTGACAATTTTATTGGCCAGTAACACAATCCTAATTTTGATTTAGATAAACTGTTTCCATTGTGATACATTATAATCTGTACTGGGTGCCATTGCGTAATTAAAATAATGATTGATAGGGAACGAGATAAATTGAAAAGAAGTGACTTAATGCTAGCAAACCTTAGTCCCTACCACTAACAGCACCTGCCTAGATTATGCAAACTGCATTTAGCTTGCATTCCAATATTTTTATGCAAATGTCTTGTCAATCCTCGGACTTCTTTACCTTCATAATGTCTGTTCATCAGAGCAGAAATATTTAATGATGTAATGCTTTGAAAAGACTAGCACATTTTTTGTAGTGTCTGAACATTTTAATAGAGTATTTTACCATCCGAAAGAAAAAAAACAACTTTTTTTTTTCAAAACAAGAAAATCTGAATTTGTCCCACTCTTTGTGTTTTAGGTAATGCAAGTTACAGAGCATTAATTTTTGTTTTCTATGTCCCTGAACAGTCAAGGTGTTTTTGAATGAGAGTTCTTGTGTCTAGCGAGTGAGAGGGATTTAACCATTTTTTTTGGAAATAAGCTCCTCAAAGAGCATATGTGGATTATAACTACATTAAATTTTTGATAAGCTTTTATGTTGTGATTTGACTATGAATAAAGAAACATGAAAGATGAATGCTGTTTAGTTTTAAAAAACAGGATGTCAGTAATCTACTAATGCAAGAATCTTTAAATGGAGGGCACAAATCATGTGTTTCAGGAGGGAAATTAAAGGAATCATTTATCTGTATGGCTGTAGGGTAAATCTTAGACTTACTCAAGTCTCTATGTTGTTGTTTTAATTATTTTTTAATATTTTGTTCAATTGACATTAACAAAGGTTTTAAATAAAACATGGGTTTAAGCAAGTCTAGATAATTCCAACTAAAGGGAATTACTTTTGCTATTTAAGAAAAGTCACGTCTTGTCCTTGTCAGGAAACACACTCTCTGATTTACAAAGCCGCTTGATACATGTATCCAAAATCTTAATGCCTAAGCAGCCTATGGAGAAATGGAAGTCTAGTACCTAAAGGTTAATTAAGCTGCTATAATTTAATCACAGCCTGAGAACTGTAAAGTAACCTAATAGTGTGGTTGCATTAATATCATGGGAATAAAAATTTTTGGTTTTGACAAAAAAAAAATAAAGTTTCACTGATTTATGGATAACAACTTTGTCCTACTCTACCATTAGTAAAATTTAATTTGTAGTTAAGTTGATTACCTAATGTTGTGAACTGGATCAACCACATTAACAATGAAAATTGGTATTCAGATGAAAATGATGAAACCATAGTATGAAAATAATGTGACAGCATTTAAAAGATGAAGCCTTGTAAGATAATTATAGGTCACCCACAACCCCGACAAAAGGGATAAGCCCTTTTTTTTTTTAGCCACTTCAAGGTCAGAAATCAAGTTGACAGAGACGGTAATACTCTAAGCATCTAACAATTACTTGTCTGAAAAATTTGCAACAGCAAAACAAAACCATTCTTAAGACCAGTTTAGTTTCACTATTTAGCCAAAGGTTTCTATAATTAAATCTGAGAAATCATATAAAGAGTTTTTTCAGTTATTGATATACATGTACCATACAAAAACATTTCATATATTTACATGATTCAGTATCAAGATATAAAGCATACCAAATGTTTGGGTATAGAACATTAACCAGGAAGCTGAAGATATAAGAATGTTTGATTTTCACCTATATTTATCTATCTGCCTATATCTGTACAGAATTCCTCAAACAGTTGTTAAGATATTTTGATCATAGGAACCAGTGTAAATTAGGATGAGGAAGAAATGATCAGATTTGGAGACAGACCTCGTATAAGATATGGCTACTGTGATTTTTTTCCTTCTACATCCACAAATGCATGTAGTTTACACAATTTTTCAAGACATTATCAAGTTTCTAATGAAATCTGGAGAAAATGTGTCTTGTAGGAGCATATGTTTTCCCCAGAAAGAGGATAGATACAAAACAAGAGAAATAACTCTAATTTATATATACTTAACCAAGGTAAACAGAAGCAGCAACTTTTCATTTTTAAAAAGAATAAATCTGATATTTCATCCCACTTTGTCTCTCTTCTCTCATTGCATAATGATCATAAACTTTGCTACAAGGAATGAGAAGACTGACACAGATCGTATACAATGTACTGTTACAGCAACACAATCACCTGCCATGCTTAGGAAGAAAATAATAAATATAAGGTAGTTCCTAGCAAACTGTTGTAAGATGTCTGTTTTTTTATCAATATTTCCACTGGATGTCTGAAATTTCCTTGGGAATAATCCCCCATTATCAGGGATCCAGGAAGTCATCTGAACCAGAAAGCCAGATAAAATCAGACTTACCTTTCCTCTTCTTCTGATGAGCTGCTGGTATTATGTTCTCTTTGACTTAAAGCACCAATTCTGATAGAAACTGCCTCCATAAAGCTTTCCCTGTCAAAATCAATGAGTTCTGTATAAATATATTGATACAGGTGTCACAAGTTAATGTGCAGTATTTCCATATATATACATGTATACATATGATGTCATGCTTTCAATGACCTTATTAATGTACAAGAAAATTTTAAACTTCAAGATAAAAAAAGTTTTTCTTATTCTAAACAATGTGTACAAATTTTCCTTTTGTAAAAAAAAACTGTTAAGTCTGCAGGACTATTTACCCCTTCTTTAAAAAAGAGGGATACTCCACCTATTTAGCAGAACTATCACAAGACACAATTAAAATGCTCACCAACACTAAAAGCTCTAGACCAAAAAAATTTAGTCTTTAGTTTCTCAGGCCAAAAAAAAATTTTAAAATTCAATGAGGCAGACAGGCCTTTTTAGGTGTTATATCTTTTTTCTTGTCAGTCAATAAAATGAAGATATCAGTTGTTTCATACTTTTTTTGTAATCTTAAATCAATTAAAATATTTACTTAACTTTAAATAATGTAATTCCAAACATTTTTATCTAAAGTCATAAAGTACCATTTTCAAAATGATCTGATTAAAAAAAAAAAAAAAAAAAACTCTTAGAAGAGGGTTACATGTATAAATCACTTGGAAAAATAGAAAATTGAGTTATTTCCCTTTTCAATTTGTCAATAAAATTGAGTGTTCGACCAAATGCGGCAGTGTCTGAGAAACTAAAGATTAATTTTTTGGTCTTTGTGCCCCAGACATCAATCTACATACCAAATTTAAAATGCTTTTGGTATTCCACAATATATTTGAAATAAACCTATGTATCATGCTTTCAGTACTTCATTTACATCAGTATACTTAATATTTAAAAGTATATTTACATGTACATTTATAATATTTACAGTATTATCTTGTAGGCATCAATCAGTTTACTTTACAGCATTTTGCTTTATGCATCCATCTTCTTATTTTACAGCATAACATATGCTTTATACTTTATAGCATTATGCTCCAAAATCTATCCACATCCATGTGCTGTGTAGTGCTTTGTGAGAGACATCATGAATCAGACATCAATCCATCTGCTTTCATACATTACAGCTTTATGCTTCAGACAACAATCTAATTGGTTTAAGCTATATGCTTCAAGCATTAATCTATTTAATTTTTCAGCTTTAAAGCTGAACATGACTCGTAAATAGGCATACACCATTTTCGATATTACTATCTAAGATATCAGCACCGGGGTATACCCTTCGCATTCGTTACAGCTGACTGCTTTATTGTCACGGGTACCGGCGTGGAATGGCGACCCGTGTTTGTGCTGGTTATCTTGCATTTATTTACTTTTGTTAACATTTTATTGCAGATACGTATATTTGTGTTTGTTTGCATACTGCACTGACCTGTGCAACTGTTGTAAATCTCTTTGGTATCTCACTCTCCTGCGTTAGAAGAAGCACACAGTTTTTTTGTCGCTACCAAGTGCTGTATAGCATACGTCCGTCTACACCGGTGACAATTGATTACACTGAACAGTGACCAAGTGAGCAGCTCTATATATAGGGGCCCTCAGATATAGCGAGAGTCCAATCGAATATGGCAGACAGATTCTTTTTACGAAGCGTGTTCAGCTTTAAGCTACAAACATCTACTTACTTGCTGGAAGATGAAGATCTTCTGAGAAGAACACATTCCTCACACGGTAAGACATCACGTGTGTACACACTGAACATTCTCTTTTTCTCATTATTTGTAAATCTGAACAAAATATCAAATTCTAAATAAATCAAGTAAGATACATATTGTCATAGATAACACTTTTTAGAATAACCAATATCCAACTATAAATGTAAATCATTATCATTCGTATTTGAGTAGAATGTATAGTTTCAAGTCTTTACAGATGTTAAAAGTATGGTATGCTGGGAATTATTTTTTCCCAAGTGGACACATGAAAATGCAGATGGAGTGTCCTTGATGGTAACCAATGAAAAAACAAAAGGCACATAATCACAATGTATACCTGAGTCAGACTGCTCCATCTCTCACCAATGAAAATGCATTGAGACCACAAATTCAATAAAAGGCCATATACTCATAAACTCTCAATTCTAGTACTTTGACTTTATGGCCTTGTTGTTCTTCAGAAAGACTAGACATTCCTAGGTAAAACTTTGAAACCCTACTGTGGTTCTACCCTGACTCCAGGAACTAAATCTATAAAACAAATCTAAATATAGGGAGCCTATATGAAAACTACAGTTTGTCTACCAATAGCCCGGATGTTTTGCAAAACAAAGTTTTAAAAGAATATTTTTGGGGCCCTTTTAATGGTCCCCTATATTGTGGCAACATATTCTATGTCAACTCTACATGAGGATACTTTCTTGTCATTTTAACAAATTGTAATCAAGCTACTTCATATTCATCAGAAATTTTTGATGTTTTTCCTTAAATAATTCCTATATTAAATATAATCCCCCTTCAATTTTGCCACAACTTTAGTCATGGGGACCATGTTTTGAGACACCTATAAAAGAAATAACTCAAGCATCATTAAACTTTTCTTTTCTGTGATGTGATGTTCTGATACTTACTGAAAAACTTTAACAGGAAAATCAGCAGTTTTGGAGTCACTATTTCAAAGAAAAATCAATTCAAGAATAAATGTCATTGTACATTGTCATCATACATAATGGGAATTAATGGAATAGGTCCTTAATAATTTTTTTCTTGATAATTACCTCTTTTCCTTAATAATTTTATTAATATAAGATTTTTATATTTACCAGTCAAACAACTTCACACAGGAAAGGCATCTCATGGCTTGACCAATGACTGACTGAAAGAGAGGCACACAAACAGTAGAATACTCTTATTTTAGATACAGACAGAGGATTTGTATCAAATCTATAGTTCCCATGAGACTGTAGCTTTATTGGTTTTGTCTATAGGAAGTGTGCAGAAATATTTTAAATATTTCTAGAAATAGCCACAACAGTAGTCCTGTTCTTTGGCTCAAGTGAGCTAAATTTTAAAAGATGCCTGAACAATTCCGTAAAACTTTTAAATTTGATGATTTAAGGTCCATTATCCCTCTGTTCTCTCATTTACAATTTTGCTTTAACATAATGATTTTCCAAACAAAATCTAAACTGCACACAATTTCAGCATACCCTTGCGAATCAAAATTTGAT